TTTTAGTTCTCGTGTCATCGTCTTTGCATGTTGTGAAAACTGGCCAAATGATGTACAACGAAAATGTCTGAATCTTTTTTTTGTCTTGTGTGTCTTTAAATCTTTCTAAATGGTCTTGTGCCTTTTTTCACTGCTTCTCCATGGACAGAATTATGTATCGCACTTATAGGATGTAAGTACTGCCCACTAACTCCTTGGGAGCAAGGCTCTTATCTCTTTCAGTTCTTATCCTACTCATCCCTTCCTGAGGGTGACAGCTTTACTATGGCCAGTTGTAGGTTATTTACAAGGCTCTCACTTAGAAAAGAAACAAACCAAAAGTATGGGGTTTTGCCAAGGTGACTTAAGCTGGGGGCAGACGTGGCAATTCCACATTAAACAGCTGTTAGAAATGTGGGGAGAACTTCCTATGTGTTACATTAAACCTAGTGTTGATTGGACTCTGTTTTTAACTTGTTAGAGCAGACGTACAGCACAGAACTGGATGAGCATGTGTGAATTGTAGAGCCTGGGGCTCACAAGCTATTGCTTGCCACAGGCTTATTGTCTTGGAATAAAACTCCCTGTTGAGAACTAGGCATTAGAACATTTCCTTGAAAAATCTAATGTGCAGCACTAGTCATGTGGAACACTGGGAGTCATAGGTTCAGGTGAGCTTTCAGGGTTGATATGTACATATTGCATCCTATCCATTGTTCAAAAAAGGAAAAAAAAAAGCCATTCATTAACTTCAGTGCTGTATTTGCTCTATTCCATTAATACTACTTCAAACTGCTAGATTTTTTTCAAAATCAACTAGTGTGTGCCTGTCACAGATGCAGGGAGTCTTGTCACAAGAGGGGTGAATTTGTACATATGCGTCCTATCCATTGTTCAAAAAAGGAAAAAAAAAAAAAGCCATTCATTAACTTTAGTGCTGTATTTGCTCTATTCCATTAATACTACTTTAAACTGTGCTAGATTTTTTTTCAAAATCAACCAGTGTGTGCCTGTCACAGATGCAGGGAGTCTTGTCACAAGTCATAGCACAAACTAGGAAGGCAAGGAACTACCACCTCCCTCTCTGGCCTACAGAAGCTTGTCTTACTAATGGCTAGGGACAGGGCAAAACGGGTTATTAGGGGGCTCCAAATTAGCACTAGAAAATCTGTGCTGTTTGATTCTGAGAGCTTTAGGGCTCCCAGTGGAGACTAGTGCCCCTGGTGTGTACAGTGAGAGCCTTCCTCCTGGTTTCTGCAGCCAGAACCGCGGCATGGGCGGGCACTCGGAGCCGGCGCACGCGGTCCCGCGGGAGTTCCAGCTGGATCTGGATGAGATTGAGAACGACAACGGGACTGTCAGGTGTGAGATGCCAGCACTCGTCCAGCACAAGCTCGATGACATCTTTGAGCCTGTCCTCATTCCTGAGCCCAAGTGAGTCTCCTTTCAAATGCTAAGTGAAACCAGGAAGGCTACGTGAAAAACTCCATTGAGAAGCTCGATTGACTGTGTTAGTTTCTACACTGAGACTTGTTTACACGAGAAGGTAGCTTAGCTAATTTGAAGAGAGATGTCAAAGGGAGGGTCTGGTTCCACTTTTGTGGAATCTGGGGAGCAGCTATGAAAGGCTGAAGTTGTGCTTATAGTAGAAGGGTCTTGTGTTTGTAAATGCATCATGGTCTTTACAAGTAGTGCAATAGATATGATAAAAGGGATGATTCCTTCCTTAAGTGAGTATCCCCTGTTAAGAATGAAGTCCTTTGTCCTTTCTGTAATCATTGAAATATAGCATTTCAGTGTATATTAGAGCTATCTTTCCAGAAAGCAATGAATCCTCTTTTCAACTGTTTAGAATCCGTGCTGTGTCCCCTCACTTTGATGACCTGCACAGTAACACAGCTTCTACTATCAACTTTGTCATCTCCCAAGTAGCCAGTGGTGATATAAACACCAGCATCCAGGCTCTGGCACAGGTATGTGAATCAAGGTAGCAACTGCTCACACTGTCCTGAACTGTTTGTCTGCGAGAGTGATGAGTTGCACTGTGGTGGAGCAATCGTGTCAGGTGACATGGACTCTGCTCAGAATCTCCCTGATGACAAAACAAAGTGCACAGGGGCCATCTGACTCGCTGTAGCAACAGGAATTCCACTTGGATGATACCAAATAGACTATTAACACAAAAGCACTATGAAAAAAGAAAAGCATGTGCCTTTGGTTAAACTGTTTTAGAGATCCCCAGTAAAAGAATTGTCTTGCCTTAAAGCTTTTACATGCTTATAGAGTGGCTTTAACTACTCAAAAGTACTTAATCCAGAAGATTTCATAAAGCTGTTAATTCCAGAATCCCTAATGCAGCATTTCATGTTTTCATTTGTGCACAGGACAGGATTGCAGTTCCCCAAAAGACCAATTGAATTGGGAACAGTAATAGAAGTTCATGGCCACTGATTCCAAGTGAAAGCTTAAAATGTGCCAATTGCCTTGGCAAATGGATTGACCAGGGCAAGACCTATAGAAAAATTTTAAGACTATTGTTATTTTGCATTATGTTGACTTTACTTGGGTGTTTTGTTTCTAACTCTTAGATTGATGAGGTTCTCAGACAGGAAGACAAAGCAGAAGCCATGTCTGGCCACATCGACCAGTTCCTAATCGCGACGTTCATGCAGCTCCGGCTCATCTACAACACACACATGGCAGATGAGAAGCTGGACAAAGATGAGATAGTCAAACTCTACAGCTGCATTATTGGGAGCATGATCTCGGTAAGGCTTTGACCTCAAAGTTAAAGCAAAGAGCAAATAATTCCTTTGCAGAATTTGCAGAAGAAGGGAATGTCTGTGCTGTACCCACGCTAGCTTAATACTGACTCGTACTTAGGAAGGCTTGATGCTAATTGCTCAGCAATGCACCTTTTAAAAGGGAGTGGGGAATGTGAAATTGGGGAGAGGAGGGAGGTCTGTTTGTTCCTTCTACAGAATACAGCCCCTCTGACACTTTTATTAAGCTCTGTATTTTTATTCCTTAACTCTTGAGTACTTATTTGGTGGCCTAAGTATTTTTGGAAGTCACTTGGTAGAAATAACTTTCATACTAGTTACATTTTTGTTTTGGGGGGGGAGGATGAGGGGATGTCAAATGGTTTGACAGTGTAGTCTAGAGAAATCCCTCTATTTAAAGCATTGTGCACTGGAAGTCACTTGGTAGAAATAACTTTCTTACTAGTTACATTTTTGTTTAGTGGGAGGGGGAATGAGGGAATATCAAGTGATTTGACAGTGTAGTCTAGAGAAATCCCACATTTAAAGCATTGTGCAAAGGGAAAACTTTATTACATTAATATTGCCTTTGATTTGTAGCTATTTCAGATAGAGAGTCTGGCCCGAGAGGCCTCCACTGGGGATGTCAAATGGTTTGACAGTGTAGTCTAGAGAAATCCCTCTATTTAAAGCATTGTGCACAGGGAAAACTTTATTACATTAATATTGCCTTTGATTTGTAGCTATTTCAGATAGAGAGTCTGGCCCGAGAGGCCTCCACTGGTGTGCTGAAGGACCTAATGCATGGTCTCATCACATTAATGCTGGATTCTCGGGTTGAAGACCTTGAGGAGGGAGAGCAGGTCATCCGATCAGTCAACCTCTTGGTAGTGAAAGTTCTGGAAAAGTCTGACCAGACCAACATCTTGAGGTATATAATGATAATTGTGCAATTACTGCTTCTCTTCACCCATTCTCTTGTGTTCCTTGAATGGCTGAGTGAGTTTTAGTCATTCTGTAAACAAAGCATGATGTTTGTAGAATCATTCAGCTGGCTAATGAAGAGTTATCACTGTGTCAGTGGTGATCAGAATTTGACTGCACAATCTGCACAGCTGGAGGCACACTAAATAAACCAGCTTAGTA